TTCTCAGAACAAAGAAAGCAATAACCATAAAACATACACAAGGACAAATCAGCTCTATGAATATTAACTTCTCATAAAAAAACACTATTAAGAATAAAATTATATTTTATAATAAACATGTAGACTGGAATAAAATTACAAATATATAAAACTATATATTTTTAAAATATATAAAAGTATATATACACAAACCAAAATACATACATATATATATACATACATACACACACACATATAGCTGACAAAGAACTTGCACCTCCAAAATGTATAAAGAACTCTAACTCCAAAATAAGCAAACACAATTCTAAAATATAGACATTTCACAAGGGAAGCTACACGAATAGCCAATAAGTATGTGAAAAAGTGCTCCACGTGATTAGTTAACAAGCAAATGAAAAATCAAAACTATTGTGAGATACTACTACATACCTAGCAGAATGGCTAAAACTAAAGACCAATAACATCAAATGTCGGTGAGGATATGGAGCACCTAGAACACTTACTTTGTTGGTGAGCATGAAACGGTACAACCACCTTGGAGAAAGGTCTGACAAATTTCTTGTATACCAAGCATACATCCACACCTACCCTATGACCCAGCAATTGCACTCCCAGATGGCTATCTAAGAGAAATGGAAACATATATCCACAAAACACTTGTTAAAAAAAAGGATTCGTAGCAGCTTTTTCCTTACAGCCCTGAACTGGAAGCAGTCTGTGTGTTCATCAATAGAATAAACTGTGGTATATTCATATACTGGAATTCAATGCAGCAACAACAAGGAAGACCTAGATTAGCAATGAGCATACCTGGCACCCAGATCTTGGTTCCTGAATGCCATTTCCACTACAAGGAACCAAAGCTCTTTGGAGAAAAAGCTGATTCCTGGGACTGGGCTGGGAAGGAAGAAGGTGAGTCTGGAGCATCTTGGTTATGTCAGAAAGTAAAGAAGTGTTTAAGGAATGATGAGGATATGTCAACTGAACACCAGCAGCAGCTTGAAAGGGTTCCCATAGGACAAATTTGGGACAATCTGAGGATAAAATAAAGATAACATTGGATTTTAAGTCATTGAATAAGAACCCCTGAGTTCATACTGATATAAATAAGTAGGGGAGAACAGAAAGTTCTTCCTGACTGTATAATGCCAACTAATAAATGTAGAACCAAAAACAGAGTTAGAAAAGAATCAATGGAGGCTAAAAGAGTGAGTGCAAACTGAATGAGGAACCAGATAAATAGTAATTTTATAGTGGACTGACTCAATATGACATCATGTACCTCACCACAAGACTCACCATGGACACAACCTTTCTGGGGTGCTTCAGACAAGAATGCATAACCCGAATCTAATAATGAGAAATATCTGAAAAACCCAGTAACTGTCCTGTTTTTTTTTTAATAACAAGGTCAAGAAAGAAAAAGAAAGGCTAAGGAACAGTTCCAGATCAAAGGAGAATGAAGAGACATGACAACTAAATGCAGGACATGGTCCTGGATTGGATGCTGGACTGGAAAAAAAATAGCCATAAGGAATATCAATGGAATAATCAACAAAATTTAAATATGGTCTGTGGATTAGATAATAGATTGCATCAATATGCTGATTTTGATATTTATTCTGTGGCTATATATGAGAACATCCTCAACATTAGGAAACACACATTGAAATTTTGTGGGGGGAAAGGGCATGTCTCCAACGTACTCTCAAATGTTTCAGGAGGAAAACATAGACACACACACATACAGAATGTCATACAGAATGACAAAGCGAATGGGGCAAACAGTAAGCAAGTAGTGAATACGGGCAAAGGACATACAGATGTTTCTGGTATTATTCTCGAAACTTTTCTGTAGGTTTGACATATCAAAACCAAAAACACACACATACTTAATTATAATTATTATCCCTTTATTACGAGGACACAGCAGCTCAGGGAAATTAAGAGACTTGCTCAACCACAAAACCACTAAGAACCAGGCTTTGAACTCGAATGCAAGTCTTCTGACCAGAAACCTTTCCTGTCACTGCCCAGTCCCGTCAGACATTAACCAGTCAACAATGACCCCCATAGTCCCTAGCACAGGCCACAAAGCCACGCCACTTCCCCATCCCCTTAGCTCTCTGCCCTCCTCGCCTACCTCTCTCCCAACTCCCCTTGCCCAAGTCAGATGTGCAAAGCATGCCTCCTCAGGGCCTCTGCACCTCCACTCCCTGTCTGGGGAAGAGCTCCCCAGACATCAGCAGAGCTCACTCACATCCTGCAGTACTCCGGCATCTCTCTAGAAAATCCTCCCATGCTTACCCTAAATAAGCAGCATTCCTCCCTCCAGTCTCAATTCCCCTGCCTTGCTTCATGTCTCTCAATAGCACTGACCACACTCTGACAGGTTATATATTTAGGTGTCTTCCCTGACAGAATATAGATTCCACAAGGATGGGGACACTGTCTATTTTTTGCTCACTGCTATTTATTCACAGTTCTTATAATAGTTCTTATAGTTCTTATAATAGCCTGGTATGTGTGTGCCATGCTTGAAAAATATTTCTTGAATAACTAGATAAATGAACAAATGCATGCGATTTCAATTAAATTTGCAACAGAATTTTTCTGGAAATTGACTGAGTCTAAAATGTATATATGGAAGAATAAAGGTGCACAAACAGCTAGGACAATGAGAAAAATGAACAAGAGGAGGTACTCATCCAACAAGATATTCAGTTGCAAAACTACAGCACCTAAAAATGATCTGTCATGAGAATACATATCTCACTGAAACAGAATAAAGTCCACAGACAGACTCCAACAAATGCGTTGGGGTATGAACGGAGAACTGCAAGTCAATTGGGAAAGGAGAGACTTCTAATAATGGTGTTGGGGTAACGGTTTCACTACACGGAAAAAAATATAAAATTTCATTCTGACCTTATACCATAGAAAAATAAATTCCAGACAATTTGAAGTTTTAACACTCAAAAAATCCTCTAAAACTATAAGAAAAAAGGAGATTACTATATGACCTTATAGTAGAGAAGGCTTCTTAAAGATACCAAAACAAACCCCAGAAACCATAAAGAACAAAATATAAGGGTTTGACTTCAACATGAAAAACACTTACATGAAAACAATGCATGATAAACATATGTAAAAGGCAAGTAAACTGGAAGGTATTTGCAACATTACTCCTGCAACTCACTGAGAAAAACCCCAACAGTCCAACAGAAAACCAGGCAAAGAATATTATTCACCATGAGAAAATGCTAATTGTCAATACACACATGAAAAACTGCCCTGACTGATTAGCAATCACAGAAAAAAGCTCATTAAAATAACGGTATAATATTTTTCACTCATCAGATTAACAAAATTTTGTCAGACAGTATCAAGTGTTGACAAAGATGTGGAAAATAGCAACTTTCCAATACTGCCAGTGAGGCTGAAAAATAGGACAGCCATTTTGAAGAACCATTGGCTTTTGTCAAATTGGAGATGCACATTTTTACGACACGGCCTAAAGAGAGGTGCAAAAGGCTATTCCCTGAAGCACTATTTCTATAGGAAAACAGTGAATATACCTAAACATCCACTAAAAGGAGAACAAATAAACAAAATGTGGTACATTTATTCAGTAGAATACAATGGTTATAAGTACTAGATCTATACATATCAACATAGAGCCCCAAGATACAATAGATGAAAATAAAGAATACAGACAACTTAATGATATTTATGTACATTTTTAAAACACCACAACAATACCATTTCCTTATGGTACTAGGTGAAAATGCAAAGAATGGATGAATGCATACACAGACTCATTGCAGTGGTCACCTCTGCAGAGCACAAGAGGGCAACAGGACTGCGAGCACTGGTTAAAGGAACTTCACCTACATCTCAGTGTGCTATTTCTTAAAAAAAAAGAGGGGGGAAAGTTATTACTTCTGGATGGTGGGAATGCGGATATTTATCATTATTTGTCCTTTTCAATAACTTATCAAGTTTTCTTTTGCAGCATACTTCCCCTGATGCTCAAACTACTTGCTCTGTTCCAATAGTGGTAGGAAAACTGGTGGCACTGGACACTGAGAAGAGCATAATACTGAACTTTATACCTGATTTAAACGATGCTCAAAGTAAATTTTGACTATACATGATTTTAGCCTTAACTGACAAACTTTAGAATTACTCCTCTTCTAAGTTGAGACTCACAGCATCACCAACATGATAACTTAAAAGCAAACCACATGTAAAACACTTCCTTCATTTAGATGAGGATTTCTGAGGGACCAATCTTGGGTACAAAATTAAGTGAACCAAAATCCTTTTCTCCAGTGCCATCTGGTGGAAAACAGAGGCAACCTCATCTGTACCTTCCACAAACACCCACAGTCGTGGTTCCCAGGGCACCACTCTTTTCAAGGAAGCACCCTCTCTCGTTCTGGGGTTACTGTGTGATACCCTAGTAACTGTTCACTTTCTTTAGAGCCTTCCTCAAACTAAATTCTTCAGCCTACAGGTTAGATAAGAAAGATCTGCTCTTTCATTTTCTCCCACTTGCATTCCTTCTTTCATGGTTTTTAATCAAATGAGGCTTTAACTTCTTCATGAGACCATTCTGCAATCATAATCTGTATTCATCCACATTTCAAACCCTCCAGAGTAACAAATCCCAACAGTAGATTTCTATATTAAACATTTTAGTGTCATTTTTCTTTTACATAAATTTATGATGGTAAGCATTTTTCATTTAAAGGACTTTTTAAATATAACATATTGTCACTATAAATATGCAGTGGGAATTATAAATAGTTCCTTCTTCCAAGCACTGGATGAGATAGTAACAAATATACAGTATCCTACCAAGAGCCAATAAAATAGGCTAGATTTTTCAGACTTGAAAGAAAAATATCAACATAAAAAAGGAAAAAAAAAAAACTAACAATGTTATGAATCCCCCAATTTGCAATAATGAGTTCCTCCATCCATTTATAAGCCAGAGAAGTAACCAAGCATGGTGGTAAAATTACTCTGGGAAATGCCAGCTGTACTCAGACAAAATAAGTCAATTCTAAATGGTTTTCCATTAGTGTTTTTTGTGGCTATGATTCCATTCGAGCTTTATAACATGCCATGCTAGACGGCTTTTTAATTGTTTCCAAATCAGCACTAGCAGAGGATGGAAACAGAGTCAAAGGCACTCCCTCAGAGGCTCAAAATCGTTAGATTTTGACGTAGATTTAAATTTAGCACATTTCAGTCACTCTGTTGAGATGCTCCTGCAGGTTCATACAAACACACTGAACTGTTGGTTGAGCTTCTCTTCCTTTCTCAAAGTTTACGATAAAGACACTAATCCCCGTATTGGGGCTGGCTGACAGTTCAGATTTGCTCAGACTTGCTGGTAAGGAACACTTAAGGTCAGTCAGAAAATAACCAAACAGGCTTCTCATGTAAGCGCCGTGACTCACAACTAAGACACTGGCTGCTAATCCTGGAGCACCGCTGTCTGAATTAAATTCGGAGAAGCAGTGTTTTCCTAAAGGAAATATCTTTGCCAAAGAAGTTTCCAGGGAGTTGCTTGGAGCTCCTTGTGAAAACTGTCCTTTCTGACCCGTCTCTTTCAAGATCAGTTGACAAAGAAATTCAAAAAAGTCTTTTCCACGCATTTTCACCTCCAAGAAAAGAAATAAAAAGTTAAGTAAAGAGACATTAATGACTGTCTTAAACACAAACATAAAACATAACAGATTGAATTTTGTCTGTCATCGTTAAGTTCTACATAAACAGATGCAACTCTCTATTTCTATTCATTCAATCAGTGGTTCCACAGACCTTAGTGAGTGCCCACCATGTTTCTGGAACTATGGAAGCATACTGGGGACACAGATGAGTAAGATACAATACCCACCTCCTAACTTCAAAGCACTCAGAGTCTAGTTAGGGAAACCTACAGAAACGGACGCCCATCAAATGAAACAGTGCTAACCAGGAAACTACACCCGGCACTTCCGTTTAGTCAGAACTACAACAAGGACAAAAAAATCTTTCCTTTACTAAATTAATAGCAAGTTTTTACAAGAAAATTATGAAAATAAAGAATAGAGGGAAAATCACCAATGTGCAATTGAAAAGCAGAATACTTCAAAGAAATGCAAGCCCAGTGATGACGTCACTTACAGAGCTAGGGAGGCAGCAGAGGCAGGAGGATTTTGTGTCTTGAATTATTTTGCCTGGGGCCTTTTTCAGTCTTGCCTATCGTTCTCCTTGAACAGCACCGCACTTGCTTTACTGACTACCACTACCACTGCTAAAGCCATTGCTTCCCACTCAAGGCGTTTTCTTAACAGCACCATCCAATGACACGTTTTCTTAAATCCATTATCAGTAATGACTGCCAACTTAACAATAAACGAGAAAGACAGGATAGCTTAAAAAGGGGGAAAAATGATATTGTGCAGAGTTGTTTTATGAACCAAACAACTTTCAAACTGCTTAGCTAAAATTTAGAAACATCTCCTTTACACAGAAAGTCAGGTTTCAGCTCCTCTGACCTCGGGAAGTTCATCAACGTGCCACCTGCCCCAGTGCTCCGTACCTCGTCTAAGGTCTCTCCTCCGGATGGTGTGAATACAGGGCATTCTTCTCCAGCTGCTTTGGCCATCGCTCTCATCTCACCCAGCGCCCTGCCTTCTGCAACTCCGTATTTCTGCAATGGTCCAAGAGAAAAAAGGGCCTCAAGTGAATTTTCAGCACAGCAAGTCCAGGTTTATGGCAAATTTAAGACAATCATCAGGGAATAAGCTTAGTTTCCTTCCACGTTCTTGATTATATCTCCTCTGAACTGATAAGAGGAGTAGACCCAGTAATGGGCCACGGACCCTAGAAAACCAGCTGACATTTTGCATTGTACACTGTGTCCAGGTGGGTTGTATGGAACAACTCACTTGAGTTCACTTAAGTAGACAGTGGGGCTTTACTGGACAAATACAGGGATTCGCACAGATTCCAGGGCAAGAGACTAACACATGCAAGAAACCAAGTCAGCCAGCTCACACCCACACATGCTCTCTCATTTGATCCTAATAACAGCACTAGGAGATGGACATTTTCATCTCCGTATTTATAAATGGGAGATCTGAGCTTCAGAGAGGTTCAGCAACTAGCCTATATTCTCACAGCCAATAATTAGCAAAGTTAAAATTCAAACCCAGATCTATGTGACTTCAAAGCTCATCAGCTTTTTTACATTCATAAAGATTGAGCCTTAGCAAAGGACACACAAGTCACAAAAGAAATACAAATGGCCAATAAACATGGGAAATCTACCTCATTAGGCATCCACAACGTGAAAATCAAAACGGCACTTTTAATAAGTTATTAAATTTGGAAGACCGAAGAGACCACTAATAGCTAGTATTGATGCGAGAAAAACTTTCTCTTAGATCATTCATGGAAGCATAAACTGGCAATGCTTTTCTGGAAGGAAATTTAGCAATATGGATAAAAGCCTTAAAAAAAGTACACATTCAGCAATTCCATTTCTAGGAAATGTATCAGATATGTGTACAAAGAATTAACTACAAAGACGTGTAACATTATTTACATCAGTGGAAAATCTAGTTACAACCTAAACGTCCAACAGTAGCTTGGTTAAATAAAATTATGCAATATCCACATATTAGAATACTATAGAGTCTTAATTAGGTGATCATATGGATGTGCATTTATGGGCAGTGAAAAACACAGTAAGGGAGAAAAGGTGGTTAAAAAACAATACAGATAGTAGGATTACATTTAGAAAAATACATACACCATCAGCTAGATAGACAGACCGATAAACAGACAAACATGAACAAAAGTCAGAGGTACACATACCAAAATGTTCACTGTGTTTGTGCAGGGTAGAAATTTTAACTGTCTTTTTTCCCAAACTGTTCTTACCTTGAATTCCCTATGATAATGGATTACTTGCATAATAAGATATTTAAAGAGACAAATCATTATTTATGGTTTGTATTGACAGTGCCAAAAGATTCTACCACCACCACGAGAGAGAAGTCTGATGGTAAAATATTACGTTTTTATAGAATACATGCACATTTCACCAGCTGCGTTTCCAGTGAAGTCCAAATGCTCACACCCTCAACTATATCTGGAGCAACCTCCACTACAAAGATGGACATTAAAAATCATCACCTGCTTTGTTTTCACAACAATGGAAACATCCATTTGTTAAATACTCAAATGCTACACTGAGACAGGTTAGGCAGTGAGGCCAGAGCAGGGAAGGAGAGGGCAGGAGCGACCTGCAGCTCCCCGCCCATGCTGAGAGCACAGAGCGGTGGAGATACCAACCGAGGAATGGTGGTGAAAATGTGCCGTGACGGAGGGAAATCCCGGACACAGACATACACAGCAGACACGTCTAATCTGGAGTCAGGGAATCACAGAGGGCCGAAGCCTCTGGGCGAGAGGAAGTGGCCAGGCTTGGGGAACAAGGATTCCAGGCAGAGTGGAGAACAGAATCAGAAGTCCAGTAAGGAAAGTGCACAGGGTGCTTGGTGACTCGAAGAAGAGCTGTGAGAGGCACATGACCGGTGGTCCAGAGCATGGACTCCAAGGCCAGCAGGCCCTGATTTGAATCTGAGCTCTGCCACGAACTAGCTCTGTAACCCTGGGCATGGACTTGACCTGTGTGTGCCTTGGTTTCTACTTCTGTAAAATGCAGGTTAAAAAATGAGGTTTTAAAATTCACAATATCAGGTTGTTGTGAAGATTAATAAACCTGCAGCACTTGGAACAGTGCCAGAACGTGGTGAGCACCATGTAAGTGCTCGCTAATGTTATCAGTAAGGCTGGGCACTAAGGACAAGGGAAGAGGAAGGAGGCAAGTGGAGGCAACAGATCAGATCCCACAGCACGCTGAGGACCAGGTCAGTGTTAGGACAACCTCTCGAAGGTAAAAGAGAAGTAGTGAACTGTTTTATACAGGGTATAGCAACCAAATTTTCCAAAGATCACTCTGGCTCCAGTGTGGAGATTAGACTGGAAAAGGGGGAGCAAGACAGAAATTGGGAGAATCACTGTTCCAGCGATCTAGACGACAGATGGCACTGAACGGCAGTAGGATGGCAGCAGTGGGTTCGCAGAGAAACAAAGGATTCAAGAACTATGTAGAGGTAGAATTGACAAGATGATGATGGGATGTGCAGCATGAGGGACAGTGAAGAGTCAAGGATGTATGGCTTAAGCAAGTGGGTAAAGCAGGAGAGGGCGGAGAGAAGACAGTGCATTCCACTGAGCTGGTAGTAGTGGTGGGGCACACAAAGAGAATAAACAGCAGGCAGTTTGATATGTGGGTGTGCAGCTCAGATAAGAGATCTAAGCTAAAAATACGTATTTGGAAACCATTAGCCCATGAAGTGAAATCATAGGAGAGCATGAACCTACTCAGGCAGAGAGCACAGAGTGAGAAGAGGTGGCCCAGCCCGGTGACAATGCTTTCTCCTACTAGGCCTGTTCAGTGCTCTGCTGAACTCTGAACATTTTTGCTTAACATTTGAGCATTGGTTCTCAGGCACAGAGTGAGCCTTTCCCAGCAGCGTTTATGCTGAAGCTCTCATATATTTGTGGAATTGTAACAGAGAACACATGTAAGTGCGGGAAAGCAATTCTTTAAAGATGCTCCAGCCATTCTGTTACATTCCTATCCAGGCAGAGAAGGAAGCACAGGGCTGGCAGGGACATTAACCGGCTTATAGGTCAGTATTACAGAGCATCCTCAAGATACTGCTCTAGGAGGAGACATGGTCAAATCTCACATCTGAAATTGCTGTATGGCTTCAGCTAATTCACAGTTTCAGAAAGATTCCTTTCTGGTATATAAAATAGGCATAAGAAAGTGTACTCATTCTTAAAATTGGGGAGTAGGGATTGGGAGGCTGAGGAGGGAACTTTTCACTTTTAAACTCTTCTGTACTGTGTTAAGTACTTATGAGTACACATTGCTTTTATAATTGAAGATGTCTCCCTCATATGATTTTAATAACTAAATAAGACACTATCTACGCGAGTATGTAATAGCGATTGTCACATAGTAGATTCTTACCATATGTTAGCTGATTCTATGTCCCTAGCAGGAGTGCACTTAATTTTTAGCCACGTGATAAACTGAGGTGGTTTACTGATGATTCATGGCAAACAACACTATGTGAGGAAGTTACTTACCCTTTCTCGAAGTCTTGAATCATACTTTACTGTCATATCTTTGCAAAATTTGCTCTTCTCCAAAATCCCACATGTGGTCTGAAATTTGAAAGACAACTGTTTCTCTTCTCATAAAAATAATTATTTTGGCCAAAATGTCAAAATAATACATGCTGTTTTAGTGAATGAAAAAGAACTAGAAATAATTTTCCTTTGCAAAAGTTGCCTGTCTTCTGTACTGTTCATCCTTTGTCTCTTCATGCCAGATTTTGATATTTCCTTCTAATGTGTCTTCTAGTTCAGAGGTCAGCAAACTCCAAGCCCACAGGCCAAATCCAGATCACAGCTTGTTTTTATAAACAAAGTTTATTAGAACACAGCCATCTGTGTGTTGTTTATGGCTGCTTTCACAGTACAACAGCAGAGCCCAACAGTTGTGACAGGGACCACACAGCCCACAAAACTTAAAATATTTACTTACTATCTGGCCCTTTACAGTAAAGGTTCTAGTTCACTAATTCTCCATTCAGGTGTGTCTAAACTGCTGTTAAACCCATCCATTGAATTCTAATTTCAGCTGTATTTTCAGTTCTAGCATTTGCATTTGGTTCTTGTTTATATTTTCCAGTTCTCTGCTGAAATTCTCAATGTCATCTTTTATCTATGCATTGAACAGTTAAAGTCTACATATGATAAGTCCCATTACTGGATAATTCCTGTAGCTGTTTCTGCTGCCTTTTGTTTTTGCTCATTTTTATTCATGTTCCCTTCTCTCATTGGGTGCCTGGTTTTTTTGGTTGACTAGAGACAGTGTATTTGCAAAACTGTAGAAATCATTTCAGTCCACAATCTGCCTTGTTTTTTAACCCTCTTCCCACAAATTGGACATTTTCACCATTACTGTTTTATATTGTCAATATTTGTTTATAGTTACGTACACATTTAACAATTTCTTTGCTCACTATTCTTTTTTGAAATTCAGACCTACCTTCTGGAATTATCTTCCTTCCTCAATTACCCTTTGAAAGTTTCTTTACAGTCTGTCTGAAATGTCTTCATTTCACCTATACTGTAGAAAATGTTTTGCTGGGTATAAAACTCAAGGTTAATCCTTATCTCTCAGCACATTAAAGAATTACTATCGATATTGGCAAATTTGTTGACAGCCTAATACTGGTCTTTGGTAAATGATTTCCCTTTTTATTCTTTGGAGTTTTGCAATTTTAAGTGAAGATATGGGTTTCTTTTTATTTCTTGACTGGGATTTGTTATACTTCCTGCATCTGAGAATCTGTTATCTTCCAACTTCTGTAAAATTATTAATTGTGACCTCTTTGAATATTGCATCTTTCCCATTTTCTCTGACACCTCCTTCTGAAAGACACTAGACCTTCTCATCTTGTTCTTCATGTCTTATAAACTTGTTTTTAAATCTATCATACTGTGCTACATTTCATTTAGTATCTCATATTTATCTATAAGCTAATGATTATTTCAGCTGTGTCTAATCTATAATTTAGTATATTCACTGAGGTTTTTGTTTTTGGCTTTTTAACTTTTTCTGTATTTTTAAATCAACTTTACTGAGGTATAATTTACAATAAAATACACCTATTTTAAATGTACACTTCACTGAGTTTTGACAGATGTGTACAGCCATCTAAGTACCATCAAATCAAGATACAGAAGAATTCCACCACCCCAAAAGATTCCTTTGTACCTTTGCCAGCCAATCCCTCCTACCCTGGGCCCCAACCACTGATCTGCTTTACGTAACTATAGATTAGATTTGTCTTTTCTAGAGTCTCATATAAATGGAATCATACAGTACGTGCTCTTTTGTGTCTGGCTTCTTTTGCTCAGCACGATGTTTTAGAGACTCATCCATGTTGTTGCTGAGTTGTTTCCATTGTATGAATATACCATCGTTCATTTAGCCATTAACCTACTGATGAATACATGGGTTGTTTCCACCTTCTGCTGATTATAAATAAAGCTGCTATCAAAGAGTTGTGTACAAGTCTTTGTGTGGACGTATGTTCTTACTTCTCTTGGATAAATTCCTGAGGCTGAAACTGCTGGATCACACAGTTAGTGTTGTTAAACCGTGCAACTGTTTTCCAAAGTAGTTATTCCACCTCACGTTCTCACTATCAATATATGAGTTCTAGTTGCTCCACATCCTTTTATCTTTTTAATTTTAGCCATTCAAAGGTGTGCATAATAGTATCTCATTGTGGTTTTAATTTGCATTTCTGTCATGATCAATAATGCTAATAATCAATAATGCACCTTTTCATCTGTTTATTGGCCTTCCATACATCTTCTTTTGTGAAGTGTCTGGTCAAATTCAAATCTTTTGCCCATTTTAAAGTGGGATGTTTGTCTAATTACTGAGTTGAAAGAATTTTAGATATATATACACACCTGTTAATCTATAGACAGATATGTATATATATGTCTTTGCAGATGTATACATATACACATTTTATATATATAATATACACATTTATAATTTTCTCTCAATCTGTCGCTTGTTCACGCTTTGTCCTAAGAAACCTTTGGCCAAACGAAGGTCATAAAGATTTTTCTCCTGTGTTTACTTATAGAAGTTTTATAGATTTAGCTTTTAGATTTGTTCTATACCAATTGCAAGTTAATTGTTCTGTACAGCGTGAGGTAAGGGCCAAAGTTCATGTTTTTCCATATGGATAGCCCATTGTTTCAGCACCCTTTATTGAAAAGACTACTCTTTTCCCACTGAATTACCCCGGCACATTTGCCAAAACCAAGCTGACCAAAAAAACAAAAACAATTGACCATATAAGTGTGGATCTATTTCTGGTCTCTCAACTTCTGCTTGAGAGAAAAAGTCTTTATTTCACCCTAATTTTTGAAGTATTTTCACTAGGTATATACTTGGAAACTTTTCAGTCATTATTTCTTCAAAATATATTTTTTTATCCTCCATACTCACCCCCACCTACTTCTCTTTTGGGACTTCAACTACATGTATATCATATTGCTTAATATTGTCTCATAGTTCACTGACAACTTCATTTTTCTTTTTTCTAGTCTTTTTTCTTTTCATAGATAATTTTGGAATGTTCTGTTTCTACATCTTCGTATTCACTGACTTCTTGTCTACAGCGTCTAATCTGTTAATCCCATCTCGTGAAATTTTCATTACACAATATTGTATTTTTCATCTCTAGAAGATCAATTTGGTTCTTTTTTTATATCTTCTATTTCTCTTCTCACTATGTTCCTCTGGGGACAGTTTAGCCTCACTATTAAGGTGTGTTCCTTCTGAATTCTCCACCTCATGCTCTGTGTATTGAACAAAATTTCTCCACTTTGGCTGGTGGGAACTCAAATGACTCCCAACCCTCTGTGGGCTCTAGGAATTATTTGGCTTACAGCTCCTCAGCAATTGTTCTCTCCCCTGAAGTTGTGTGTTGCTGGCCTCACGCAGTTTCATTCTATGCATGTGCAGATTAATGGGTCCCCAAAGACCTACGGGATCTCTACACATACGTCTAGAATTCTTTCTCTATGCAGCTCTCTCTTCCAGTACTCTGCCCCACAAATTCTAGTTATTTTAACCTCCCCAAATTCCAAGCATTGTCTCCTTAACTCACTGAAACCCCTGGGCTCTACTTGGTTTCTCCTACCAGAGTCTGGAAATTGCTTCAGACAGAAAACCAGGATAATCTGAGGGCTCACCTCCTTTGTTTCACTTCATCTGGGGATCAGAGGCCTACGCTGCCTGAAGCCCAATGTCTGAACACAACTGCTCCACAAATTTTGTCCTGTTTTCTTGTTGTCTGTGGGCGTAGGCTACATTCCAACGGTATTACTCCCCCATGACTGTCACAGAAGTCTCCTTCCATTGAACTTTTAGAAGTTGATTTGGCTCTTTTTTAAATCTCTCTTTAAGTTTTTATAGTAATCTGTTCCCTAAAGATATTTCAAACATGTCTTTTATTTCTTTATAGTAACGTAGTTTTTTTTTTTTAACTGTATCTGGTAATTCTAATATCTGATGTCTTTATGGGTTAAATTCTCCTGTCTGTTGTTTCTGCTGGCTCTCTCTTATGACACCTTCTGTGTGTTTTTTTAGACATTTTGTTAGACATTTTCCCCAAGCTACTCTAATTTAAAAATTACCAAAATAAAATAAAGTAGGAAAATAAAATGAAAAGAAAAGAAATTCTGTTGGGGGGAGAGGTGATGTCTGTGTGTGATTTAACTCCCTACAGACTCTGGTAGCCGAGTTTTCAGTCACAACCGTTGACACTTTTGAATCATCAGCCTACACCTTGACTCTAGACTTACCTGCTTTGTCCTGGTGAGGTCACTGGAGAAAACATGAGTAAACTGCACATTAGTAAGAAATACACCAGCAGCGGCTGCTTGTTTAAATCCAGTTTCTGAAAGAGGCTCATCTACTCCTTGTCCTGTGGTGTTAAGAGAAGGAACAATAACACTCAAATATACATATAAGGGATGCAAATAAAATCATACTAAAGAGAACATAAATAGCATTTATGTATATTTTATTAAAAGATTTCCTTGGGTACTTTTCCACATAACTTTTCAGAGAACTGACAGCATGTAAAATTAAGCTATAATCCTATAAAGGCTCAAGTATTCAAATTTTCATAAAAGAATGTCTGCCTAATGAAAATTAGATGATGATGAGAATTCAGCTATCTCCAGCTCTCCCTCCTTCATATCCGCCCATCTCTCTATCGGCTGTACTTTATTAATGCTGGCTCCGAGAGCACGTTCTCAAGACAGGGTTACGTTTGGATAGAAGGAGCATCACCTAAACAAGCTTTTCCTTCTTTATCTCCATTACCCAAATGTTCCATATTGTATTACTTTCCCTCCCTCCCTCCCTTCTTTCCTCCTTCCTTTTCCTTTTACATTTTAAAAATACTTTGAAACCTCTATTTCCAGGAGAAAAGCTGATTAAACACTTTGAAGGATCCTCCTACTACAAAAGAAATGTGTGTGTGTGTTTGTGTGTATGTGTGTGTGTTGTTCACAAGTCATAAGCAAAATGTCCAAGAGGCAAAGCAAAGCAACCAAAATATCCTTAGCTGAAACTTGAACATCAACGGGAGAAAATGGAGCTGCCATGATATCAGCACAAACAGGGGGTGGTTGGGGGAGGGGCCACTGCATGGGACAGTAAGGTGGGAGAACTGAACTCAGCATTCCTGGAAGCCAGGGATCTTGTAAGGAGGCTGACGTAGTCTCAGTCAGTGGTCAAATCAAATGCAAATGCTCTTCAGAGCAAGTCATTCTCAATAAAAGCTAACAAGTTTTCTCCTAATTTAGAGCAAATAATAGTTCTGTCACTAATATAACACACAAGAAAACAATCCATCATGAATGAAAGTCAGCAGAAGCAACAAAATAGATTTAGAACTATTAATACTTTAGACATTGGAATCGTCAAATACAGACTATAAACTGAATAAAACATAAAGAAAGAATCACAAAAATAAGTAACAAGAAGCCATCAAAAACAACCAGACAACTAAAAGAACCAAACAGATCTTTTAATAATGAAAAACAGGACTGCTGGAGGTGAGAGGGATCCCTCAATGGATTTGATACTGGCTCAACACAAAGTTGACATAATGGAAGCCATATTGTAGAAAAGAAACCATATTGTAACTTTGAATGACCTCTGATTAACCCAGACACACTGTAGATTTTATGGTCCCTCCCCGCTGCAATAAGTTGATAACTTTGTTCTTTTGAGTTCCTTAGGAATGTGATGATCCCTGGGCAGAAAGTCTATGCTGATAGCCATCATCAACGACAACTGAAAGATCAGGGTATAGGGCTTTGCTCCAGTCTCTGACGCATATTCAGTAAAACAAAAGACTATCAGGAACTAAGACCAGATGGATGCCCCCACCCAGAGACCATCCCCCTAAATAACTGGCCTATAGTCTTTGTTCTGTAAGATGGTTCTTTTGCACATTAGTCAGCCATCTTCCCTCTTGCTAGCAAGCTGTAATGAAGTCCTTTCCCTCCTACTTTCTTGCCTCTTGACTATTGGCGTGTCTTGTGGTGGGCAGATGACCACCCTGCCTTGGGCTGTGACAGAGACTCAAGTGCACAGAGGCTTAATGAATTCCAAGACAGGGCTGAAGGTATTGCCCAGAATGCAGCACAGATACAAGGAGATGGAACACATCTCAGACATATCAGAGACACGAAGAAAAAAACAAGAATTCCTAACGCACATCAATTGGAACTCCAGAAAGAAAACAGAGAAAATGGAGGAGAGGAAATATGAAGAGATAATGGCTGAGAATTGTCCAGATATGAGGGAAGACATAAATCTACAGATAAAGGCAACATGATGTACACCAAGCAGGATAAATTTTTTAAAAAATCCCTCCTAGATATATTAGGGGAAATTGCAGAATACCAAATCAAACAAAAGACTTTAAAAGCAGTTACAGAGAAAGACAGATTACCCACCGTGGAACACCATTTGGCTGAGAGAAGACTTCTTAACAGGAACAATGGAAGCCAAAAGAGCAGCAGAAGAGTATCTTCCACGTGCTAAGAGAACCGGCAGTCTAGAACTGTCTAGACTAAAAGAGAGTGAATAGAACAAGAACAGAATTGTCTAGAATAGAAACAATTGAGACTATCTTTACTATCAGCTGATCTACACTAGGGGACCTTTCAAAGAAGATACTTCAGGAAGGAAAGTTTGAGATGCAAAAGAAATGAGGAGAGAAACTGATAAATATATATATAAATCTAAACAAACATTGTCTAAATAAATTAAATAATAATGTCTATTTCATGTGGTTAAAAAACCATAGGACTAATATATTAAGCAACAGTAACATAAGTTCTTTGTATTTTGGGGGGAGTATATTAATCTTATGTTTTATTAGGTATGAGTGGTAAACATTTAAAGGTAACCATTAAAAGAATAGAAATGGTTTATCATTTCAAAGCCAGTAGGAAAGACAAAAGGGGGTTGGATAAGAAAAAGAAAAATAAGCACTTAAGAAGTAAAAGCAAGTAAGAAGGAAAAGAAAGACTAGAAAAAGAAAGGAGAAAAGAACACCAAAGAAGAAAGTCCAAACATCAGTAATCAGAACAAAAGTAAACAGACTACTCTTGCCAATTAAAAGACACATTGTATTAAAAAAAAAAAAAAAAAAAGAACCAAAATCAGCCACCTACTATTTACTAGCTAACACTTAAGACATCAGTAGACAGAAAGGTGGGAAGGAAAGGAATGGAAATATATACCAGGCAAATCCCAACCCCCCAAACAGCTGGGGTAGCTATATTACTATCAGAAAAGCAGGCCTTAATGCAAAGGTCTTAGTAAAGATTGTGAGGATCATTATAAATAATCAATAATCCAATTCACTAGGAAGATACAACTATTTTTAAACTTGTATATGCCTAGTAAAATAGGATCTAACTATATAAAAGCAGAATATAGAAAGCAAAAATTGATAGAATTTCGGGTATAAGATAAATTGGGCATCACAGTGGGAAATTCAAAATATCTCATGCATAAATTAATATTTAGGTCACGCAGGCAAATTAGTAAATTTACAAAATTGGTAAAGTATAGAAGATTTAAACAAAATCAAGGTTGATCATCTGAAATATAACTCAAACCCAAAAATCAGAGAACATAGATTTTTCTCAAGCATACAATGGTAGATTTATAAATGCTGATCATGTCAACAACTTTCAAAGAAGTATTATCAAATAGACCATATTGTCAGAACACAAACAATTACACTGGCAGCCAATCACAAAAGATGAAGAACAAAACAAAAAGCCTAGTCATTTGGAAATTTAAAAAGCAGTTCTAAACAACTCATAGGTCAACGAAGAAATCACAATGGAAATTTAAGATACTTGGTGCTGAATACTTATAAAATTACTACATATCAAAACTGTAAGTATGCAACCAAAATGGTACTTAGAGATACATAAGCCTTGAATGCTTAACAAAAAGAAAAAAAAGAGAGGCTATAACTTAAAGAACTAAGCATCTAACTTACAAAGTTAGGAAAAGAACACAAAACAAACCTAAAAGACAAGTGTGAACACAAAAACTTTTTTTTTTTTTTTTTGGTGAGGAGATCAGCCCTGTGCTAACATCTGCCAATCTTCCTCTTTTTTTGCTGAGGAAGACTGGCCCCGGGCCAACCTCTGTGCCCATCTTCCTCCACTCTACATGGGACGCCACCGCAGCATGGCTTGCCACGCAGCGCATCAGTGCGCGCCCGGGATCCAAACCGGCGAACCCCGGGCCGCTGCAGCAGAGCGCGCGCACTTAACCACTTGTGCCACGGGGCCGCCCCCGCCCCCCCCCCCCCAAAAAAAACTTTTATCCGTGTTCCATCGTCGGTTTCTCATAAAATGAGACAGAGGGCAGTCCTGAAGGACAAGGTGGTACGGAACACAAGTCCAAAGGATGCTCTGGGTGGGGCACATGTCCCCGGAAAACAAAGGTTCATTTAATTATCACACTAGTTTCCAGAAGAGGGAGTCAGGCTCACTGGGTATGAAAATCAGTTCCTGCAAACCCCAGATGTCCCTAACCAAAAAAAAATTAAAACTAAATGCTTTTATAATCACAGCACAGAAATAGCATGTCCAGCTGAAAGCTGACCCAAGATATTCTTTAAAAGCCAGACTAGCTGGATCACAGGGAGATTAAAAGATCTGAGTCCAAATTAACAGCACAAGGGAGGGAGAATCTGTTCAGAATAAAGTAACAATCCCCTGTGAGAACAGGAATTCTCTATCTAAACCTCTTCTTTGTTACTACTAAAAATAAAATAACTATCTTAGCAGAAAAATACCATTAACACCAGCCAGTAAACTTTATACTTCCAAATATGAAATAATTTTAAATCCCAGAAGTTATATTTTAAGACAACTAGACCCAATATAACTCCTCAGCTGACTGGGCCACTTTGAAGCTACCCATAAACAACTTGGAGCACTGTTCTTTACAGCCGGTTCACCTAGGAGACTTATTCCTCTTGGTTACCATCTGCTCTGATCATATTTCTGTGACTATGATGCTTTAATTCTGTAATCCCAAATCTGATTAACTCACGTATCATATTAACACTAAAGGAGAGAGCCAAAATAATAGTCAGAGTATACCAACCTTGAATTATTTTCTCCTTGTTAAATCTTGTTTCTCCACTAAAATAGAGAGAGGGGAAAAAAACTTTTAATATAAAATTAGGTTATTTTTGAGAAGAGAAAAAATCAGCAATGAAAGGTAATGATATTCAAAAAGATGGCATATCAATTTTGTAACATAATTCATAGTCTAATCTGTAAAATTATAGTTTATTCTAAACTAATATTTGCAATCATCTACTCTAATGTACTTAATGAGCTAAGAATTTCAAACTGCCTCAAATTAAAATGTATAGATCATAAATCAATCTTAACCGAATTGAAGGTAGAAAATTCTATTAAAATATATATATACATATAATTTTTGTTAAATAATCTTGTTATAATAATGTCAACCAAAACTACCTTCCCAGGCAGCAGGACCAAAACATGAAAGTCAGTCCGTTCGTTGCCGGACCGAAGGAGAAAGCACAAGGGAATCTGAATGGATGGGAAAGAAGCTCACAAGCCTTCAGATCCCCTGCCTTCTCCTAGTTCCTAGATCTTCTCAAGCTGCTCCATTGTGCAGTGCTGAGAACGATCTTGCAGATCACACTGAAGAACAGAGGTTTGGTACTACATTTTTAAGAATTAGACAACCAAACCAAAGCAAAACAACTTTGAAGCAACCAGAAGAGTGAAAGGACTGCATACTGTCACAAAATAATGGGCACTCGACGCTGGAGGGGAAGAAAGTGGGGGTGCAGGTACCCGGACAAGACTGCAACGGGGCAGACCTACAGTAAAAGCCATCGTCAAATACATGGAAAGCTATCAAGGACAATTCAGGCGAGACTCCCTTGAGCTCCTCCTCCGTGCTAAGTACAGCGCTATGCACTGGAGACACAGAGACGCAAAAGACCTGTGGCTGCCCTGAGAAAGCAGCTGGCTTGTTCCGTGTGGGCACTGGACCTAGAATTGGAAATGGTGGGTAAAAACAGTAAACAGGTTTCTTCAGAGCAAGTGATTTCCTCATTTGGAATCAAACTTCTACAGCCCAAATTTATATCCCTCTATGTCAACGAGAGGTGAAAATCCTTTAAAATAAACTTCATTGCCATATAACAGGCTCGGGAATAAAACTGCTTCAGCTCTACGCTTACCAGCTGGGTTAATCTCAAGTGCCTCAGTGTCCTCATCTGTGAAATGGGGATAATAATAGTCTCCATCTCACAGGGCTCTTGTGATAATTGAGTGAATACAGGTAAAGCATTTAGATCCGTGCTTAGCTTTTAGTAAGCACTCAATAATTATACTTGTAAGTCATTTTTGGACAGAGCTATACAGAAATCAAAGAGTTAACTTAATGCATTTGTAATCTTTTAAAAATTGTGAAATAAACAATATAAGCAAATAACGTAACTATAAAGCCAACATCCACATAATACCACCCAAGTTACCAGATCACTGCCAGCCTCCTCGACCCTGTCCCTTTCCCATCACAATGCCCTCCTAGCCCCAGTGGATCCACTACCTTGGATGCTCTCTGCTTTCCTTTCCCATCCATGTAGAGCACAGATTAGTTTGCCTGTTGCTGAATTTTATAATAAATTGCACCTTACTACAGTATTCCCCCCTCATCTGTGTGGGATACATTCCAAGACCCCCAGTGGATGCCTGAAACCACAGATAGTACTGAACCCTATCTATACTACATTTTTGCCCATATTAAGTACTTATCATGCACTGTAGCTGTAACTTTTGCAGTTTGAGGTGTGACATGAAAACTAGCATGAATTTCTTTTTCCTTCACAATTTCACGGATAGAAGATTCATTCTTACTGTAGATCTGAGTAACCTCAGCATACAATTTTTTTTCTTTCACCTTTTCACTTAAAGGAAGCACTTAATGGCTTCTCTTTGGCATCTCCGAATAGCCAGCATCTCCACTCTTGTACTTTGGAGCCATTACTAAGTAAAATAAAGGTTGTTTGAACACAAGCACTGCCATACTACACCAGTTGATCTGATAACTAAGATGGCCCCCACAAAGGGATGATTCATGTCCTGGGCGGGATGGAGCAAGATTTCAGCACGCTACTCAGAATGGTGAGCAATTTAAAACTTATGAATTGTTTATGTCTGGAATTTTCCATTTCATATTTTCAGACTGCTGTTGACCACAGGTTACTGAAACCACAGAAAGCAAAGCCACAGATAAGGGGGGCCTACTGTCCATGTAGTCTTCTGTATATTGCTTCTTTGGTTCAACACTGTTTGTGAGACACCTCAAGGCTGCTGAGTGTGGCTGTACTTCTTACACTCTCGTTACTGTGTAACACTGCACTGTAAGAATTTACCCCAATATATTTATACATTCTATCGTTGACAGATATTTAGATTGCTTGCGGTTCGGGGCTATGCTGCCATGAATGTGTTTGTGCAGTGTGCATCAGATTCTCTAGGGCAGTGGTTCTCAAAGTGTGGTCCCCCGACCAGCATCATTGGCATTGCCTGGGAACTTGTTAAAAACACAAATTCTCAGTCCCCATCCCAGACCCGAATTAGAAACTCAGAGGCCGGGGCCCAATCTGTGTTTTGGTTTTTTTTTAAAGGAATGAAGTTCTTTTTTCTTTTTTTTTAAAGAATTTATTATTTTTTATTTTTTCCCCCAAAGCCCCAGTAGGTAGTTGTATGTCATAGTTGCACATCCTTCTAGTTGCTGTATGTGGGACGCGGCCTCAGCATGGCCAGACAAGCGGTGCGTCGGTGCACGCCCGGGATCCGAACCCGGGCCGCCAGCAGCGGAGCGCACGCACTTAACCGCTAAGCCACAGGGCCGGCCCAACAATCTGTGTTTTAATAATCACCAGGTGATTCTGATGCACGCTCATGTTTGAGAACCACTCAAGGATTGGCAAACAACTCTTTTTATAAATCAAGTTTTATTGGTACATAGTCACACCTATTTGTTTATATACTGTTTATGGCTACTTTCACACCCTAATAGTGGAATTGAGAAGTTCAGACAGACTGTATGGCCCGCAAAGCCTGAACAATTTACTATCTGGCCCTTTAATTAAAAGTTTGCTGACCCAAGCACTAGAATTGCTGGGCCACAGGGTATGCCAATATTCAACTTTATTAGATAATGTCAAAGTGGTTATACCAATTTTTACCACCCTGCAGTGCTCCACATACTCACCAACACTTAGTAATGTAAGAGTTTTCAATTTGTGCCAATCTGGCACCTGAACAATTTATCTTACCTTGATTTTAATTTGTATTTTCCTGATTACTATGAAAGCTGATCACCCCTGCTTTGTTTTTAAGTGAAGCACTAGTTTAAAAAGAAAAAATCTCACATGGGATTGATTTTCTCAGATACAGAAAGGAACTCCATCAGATCTTAAAGCCAGAATCACGAACTCGGGTCTCTGCCCGGAACCTTGTCCCTTGTTTACAAGAAATAGTTGCCAAGCCCTGCCTAGAGCAGTGGTTCTCAAACTTGAGCACATATCAGAATTCCCTAGTGGGCTTATTAAAACACAGACTGCTGGACCCGCCTACTACGTGCTCATTCTTCAAGACCCAATACAGGCAGCCAGATCTTTTAGGCAGCCTTTCCTCGCCAGCACTGCTCCCCACCTACCAATCCCTCTTAAACACCCCAACTCTCTGCTCCCCTTTTACCCTGGCACTACTACTTTAAGGTATCATCTGTATGCTAACTAACTTTTCAGTTGTGTGTCTCTCCCGGCTCCAGTTTCTTAAAGGCACAGCCAGAGGTTGCATCACCCTAACATGCCCAGTACCTGGAGAAAGTTCTGGAAAATAACAAAACCTCAGTGTATGTACTCTGTGATGGAGGGTCATCTGGAAATATCAAAATGACAAATCTGTTTACCCTCTGATCCAGCAACTCTATTACTGGGAATACCTGCATTCATCCCGATTTAAAAGAATATTTGCTACAGTATTATTTCTAATAGCAAAAGACGGTAAATAACCTACATGTCCATTAACAGGGAACTGGTTACATTAACAAATAAACAGGGGCTGGCCCGGTGGCGCAAGTGGTTAGGTGCACTTGCTCCACTGTGGCAGCCCTGGGTTCGCCGGTTCGGATCCCGGGCGCGCACCGACGCACCGCTTATCATAAACCATGCTGTGGCGGCGTCCCATGTAAAGTGGAGGAAGATGGGCAAAGATGTTAGCCCAGGGCCAGTCTTCCTCAGCAAAAAAAAAAAAGGGGGGGGGGAGGATTGGCAGATGTTAGCTCAGGGCTGATCTTCCTCACACACAAAAAAATAAATAAACAGTGGTATATCTACATAATGGAAGACTGTGTAACTGTGTCCCCTCAAAAGAGAGAGACTATATGAAAAGATATGGAAAAATCACCAAGATATATTATTAAGTAGAAAAAGAAAGGTGCAGAATAACATAAAAAGATTATCTTTTTAGAAAGAAGAGAAATAAGAATAAACATTTGGATATGCACAATAAAACACTGGAAAGATACAGAAGAAACGAACATGGTCCCCTATGGGGTGAGAGAAGGACAACAGGAAGATGAGGAAGAATTGGTTTGGTTTCTAAATGTGTGGAATTATTAGCTTTAAAAAAATGTATGACAAGTAAATTAAATTACACAGAACTATTTACCAATGATTTGCCATTATCATTGTTGTTGTTAATATTAATGAAAGATTTCTTATACTCCAAAACTCACTCAGAATCATATGAAATGGATGTGAAAGAGGATATTAACCTCTACCACTCAGACAGATAAAGCACCCAGGGCAACGATGCAGTAGGGTTCCCAAACACTGGATTCACTTCCCATCCCAGCCTCATAACCTTGCTGAGACCAAGAATGAAAAAACTGCTGTTTAAATACAAGTGACATCCTCTTTAGATAGTGGTTTTGTGGCCAAATTCAATTTCCAGCAAAATTCAAAGAACCCCACCCCCTCTATCCCATATTTACTTTTATACAGAAACCTCAAAAGATTTTGCCTACTTTATGTGGATTACAAGCTCTCTTGCTCATTTCATAAATTTAAAATCAAGAGTGAAGGAGAAGTTAACAATTTTGGCAGTCCAGGTCTCTACAAATCACAGAAAATCAGCAGAGATGATAACTTTTTGTATGCTTGCTAAAAAGACAGCTCAAGATTTTAATTTAATCCCAAGAGCTGATTTGATAAAAGATTCAGAATAAAATAAAAGATTATATCACTAAAATGTCATCCTATAAAAAATGGAATTCCAGTACTTTGATAGCTTTGTAATGGCACTGCCCCACCATCTAACCATTTTTGGTGAAAGGAGAAAAAATAGCTATAACAAAAGATTTCATTTAGTTATAAGTCAGTAGAAACTGCTGCAGACATTATTCTATTATTAACAATCACTGGCATTCTAATGGGCATTTTGCCTTCAAATTACTTTATAAATATTACAGAGTAGGACTCTAGAAATAGAATTTATTTCCAAAAACATTCATAAATATTTAGTTTTATAGCTTTTATCAGCTTTATCAAGAGCTTTGTATAAATCCTTGAAGCAACCATTTAAAGTTAGTTTGTTTTGGGAGTGGCAAAGAAAAGTAGGTGGCTAAAATAGTTTTGCTGTTAATCTAATTCCCGATTAACCAAAGTCTGGCTTGTGACAGCAGCAGAGAAGGTGGAGGGAAGGTGAAAAGTCAGAGGAATATATTTGGAAGGAGTCAAGAATAACACCACTCATTTTCAAAATCTGCAGTGTGATCCATTTCCAGAACACAACACCCGACTCTGCAAGAATCCAAATGCTTATGCCAAGAAGCTGTCTTATGACCAGCCATTTATAGGCCCTACAAATATGCATCATTCACTTTGTAGATTATCACACTGTTCTTCACTTAAAAAGATATTTTGTTACTTCTAGTTTATATTCTAAGGCATTTCTTTAGAAATAATATGCAAAGCTTAATTTCCCAATCACATCTTTTTAAAGATTCAATTCAGTAAACAAGTACTCAGTTTGCCACAAGAGAGAGACAAATCATGAGAATTAGAATACATTTGGGACAAGTTTTCAAGATACATATGCTTTAGTGTACGTGGAAATGTAAAGCCTCACCTAGTATTTAATCATGAATACAGCTTTATCCTAATTGCTCTACACCAATTAATTCATTTGAAAATACAGAAGATTTCAAGTGTGAATAACAGAGACTTTCACTAGATGGTTTGAGGGGAAAAAGAACATAAGATACCCAACTCATGACACATTTTTGTTTATATATAGATTAGTCTTGGTTGCAAAGTCTCTCCCAACTGATCAACTCCATTCCCAGAAAACAAACATCACAGTAACATAACAATTACATACCTTTAGAAAACTTTATAGATGATAAAATTTATTTTTCTTGCTTTATTAATAACCAGAATAATGATTAACATTCAACAAAAAGTAAGTTAACTGACGCTAGAGGTAAAGAAAAACAAATCAGTGTTGCTATCAATAACTTCACTAATTTATCATCTTTAAGTCATTAAAAGTAAAGTAAATTCAGTTTGTAAAAATATTTTTAAGTTTTAGGAGCTAGTTAAAAATAGAAGTGAAATACGATGGTTTTTCAAGCAGCTGATTGCAAACACCTACAACTAACATTTCAAGGGCACTAGGGCCTTCATTGTGTCGTGTAGGTGATGGAAATGCCAGCCTACATACTGGAGTTTTCAACACGGCTGCACCATATAAGATCATGAGAAGTTACAGTTGAATAATATGAGCAGACTTGAAGTTTAAAATCTTGGGCATTCTATTCCAAAAATGATACATACTGGTACTTTCACTTTCAAATATGATGAAGAAAGATAAACACACATAAAGTAACAGCACAAGATTCATAAAGAATTTGGTTGAACTTAAAGAAATTGCTTTTAAAAGTTTTCTTGCATTGTCTGAAGGCGCACTGTTCAACAGAATTATCCAACTCTTCAAAAACACTGATCATGCCATCAGTTTCAAAGCATCTGACTATCTTATAGAGTTATACAGAATCAGGTAATAGAAAACTCAAGTGCCTATTCTCAACATTATGCTAAATGATCCAATCTTGCTGATTCCAGTACGAGTCAGTGTATTTAACTATGGTGATGATCAATCAAGATTGACATCATTTCTTTTCCTGAAAGAATCATCAATTTTTAGCTTTGAAAACTCTAAAAGAGAAAAGCAGGATGATCCAGACAGTGTAACAGCTAGATCTTAAGTTAGCACGAGGGAAGCCATCTTAGGGAAAGGAAGCAATATTGTAACTATATACGACCCTGACTCACTAGTCTCTGTGAATACATTCTAGCCTGCACGTAGCCTAGATGATTAAGCACCTGTCAATTTTGCAAAATACATGATCTGCTAGTTCTATGACTCTTGCTCACGTATATCTCCCAGCTGTGATAAGGTAACTTTGTTCTCCCCAAGAACATGAGGACCTCGAGAAAGAAAAATTCTGGGTTAGTATCCATCACGAGTGACAGAAGAGATAATGAGGCGCCTTGAAGTTCGTCACACTGGATGGTTGACATCCCTAAACCTCCTCCTTCCCTGCTCATTTCCCCTATATAACTGCCTCAAGATTCTATATGATTTTACCATCGTTCTTTAGGACACTAGTCTGCCATCTTCCGATTATGCTAGCTAATCGTATAAACTTTCCTTTCTCAACCACCGGCTTGTTTGCAATTGAACAAGCCCCTTTTTGCTCAGTTACAACAGGAAAGCAGCTAACCAGGGGGCCAGCCCAGTGGTGCCACAGTTAAATGAGTGCACTCTGCTTAGGCGGCCCGGGGTTCGCAGGTTCAGATCCCAGGCACGAACTGATGCACCGCTTGTCAAGCCGCATCCCATATAAAGTAGAGAAAGATGTTAGCCCAGGGCCAATCTTCCTCAGCAAAAAGAGGAGGATTGGCATCGGATGTTAGCTCAGGGCTAATCTTCCTCACAAAAAAATAAATAAATAAAAATAAAAAAAATAAAAAACTAAGGAAAGCAGCTAACCATAACTCTACCAATTATTTCAACACTTTCTCACAAATAAAATAGAACAAAGCAAACTATTCTTATCATTCTTCACCATTATATAAGGAGAAATAGAAAGTAGCCTCTAAAATGGCTGGTGATGTTCAAGCAATCTACAAATACTAAGCTTTAACTCAATAAAACAGGAGGCAAAAGAGTACAGTGGTTAAGAGGATGGGCTGTCAAGTTGCTGCCTCCCCAACTTGCCATGTGACTTTAAGCAAGTTACACACCTGCTGCGTCTCAGTCTCCTCACTTGCAAATTCAGGAGCAATCCTTACCTAACTGGATAGTTGTCAGAATTTAATTACAACAGTGCCTGGCACATGATAAATTATTAAGATTAATTGGTTTCTATAGAAATCCTACGAGGAATCAATTAAAAAACCAAGCCCTTTTTAAGAAGCAGAGAGGGGATAAAATCCACACTCCTTTAACTATTGTCTATTAAGAATCTGAATAGGGATCACCTGACTTTTCAAGGGAGTGGTTTGCTACTCAGATTTCCTACAACTTCTGAGCTTCAATTACATGCCAGACACTGTGCTGACTGGGTCAAGGCATCCAGAAAGTGCTCTAACACCGGAAGAAAGGGCAATCAGGACTCTAGTCCCTGTTCTGCTACTGATTAGCTGCTTGACCTTAAGTAGGTCATAAAACGGTGGTAAAGCATTCTATAAAATGGAGAGAGGTGGGGGAGAAGAGAGGTGGGGGAGAAGAGATAGAGAGGAACTCAATTTCTAGTTTAGGCATTAAAATCCTGTGTATCCTAAAGAGACAACTTCAGATGATTCCCAAGATTATCTTCCTATAAAGGAAGAACAGGACAGAAAAGACAGCAGGTACAGTGAGCTTGACAAGGTTAAATCATATTACTGTTCCTTGTGAGCTCCATGAAGTCAAAAATGGTGTCTTACTTATCTGTGTAACCCAGTCCACTGGGACATAGCACCCACTCAAAATGCTGGTCTGATAAACTGTACAGACATACTTGAGGACTAACTGCATTTTTATTAGAGCTGTCCTTATAGAAGTTATTTAATTCTCAAATATATGTCTTCCTCTCCATTGTGCTATAGACTTGACCTTTCTTCCATTTAATTCTCACGCTAACCCAGTGAGGGAGGTATGATCACTATCCCCATTTTATATACGAGGAAACTGCCCTCAGAAACATTAAGTCAGTTAACAAAAGGCCAGGTTACGAGGCTCCTAGCTGGAGCATGGATTCTAACCTAGGTCTATCTTGCTTGAAAAATCTGTGCTCTTAACCACCCTGAATTTCACTTCCTATTAAGAGTCGGCAAATAACTGAGAAGAAAAAAGATAAGCGACATAAAAATATGCCAGCATTTAGCTCACTGTAATGTTATGATAAAAAGAGTTGTTCAGGGTGACGTGGTCAGCTGAGACAAGGGCGGAGGGCCCTTTTTTCTCTCCCAGAAACGTAACCTCTGGAGAGAAGAAATAAATCTCAAATATACGTCTGCGGGGCTGACTGTCCTGGGAAATGAGGGGGAACAGCAGAGACGGAGAGGGGGCATGGCGGAAGGCAGGCAACCAGCATCAGAACTCTCAGCCTTGGACGAGCTATTCTGCAAACTTGGAATCTGCTGGGGACCAAAACGGTGCAGAGAGACGTCCAGAGACACGGTTGTCTTTCTTCAGCTTTAGCTCTGCCGCCAAGCGGCTGGGAGCCTTCATCATTTTATGCTCATCCAGACCTCACTCTCCTCCTCTGTAACACAGGACTGACAATATCTAGCACCTGCCTTTCTGGCTCAGCGTTGCTGGGGGGAGGAGGGGTCGAAATGAAACAACACGTACGAAAACACCTGGAAAACAGCCCGGAGCAAGCTAACCCTCCGAGGAGTGAGCAAGCAGGGAAGAGAAGGGATGACAGACCAACGGTCCTTTCACCCACAACAAAACGCACTCAATGAAAGGCACCCCGCGACAGCAATACTCACTGTCGGACAACGGTCAGAGCGAAGCGCGTCATCATGCTGGCCCCGGAGGGAGAAGCAGACAAGGCCACAGCCCGGCCCGCGTCCCCCGCCCAGCGCCGCGCCCCTGCTCCGCACTGCGGGCTCCCTCGCCCACCCCACTTCCGCCTATCCCCGCCGGCCGGCCGGCTCCGCGGCCATAGGCCGAGGCAGCCGCCTACGTCATCTCCGGAAGGCCAATCAGGGCGGTAGGAAGCCGACAGGTCGGAGGAGACTGGTGACAGGTGAGGCCCCGCCCAGGGCTGCGGCGCTTGCGCCCCTGCGCGCGGGCCTGTGATTGGCGCCCGAAGGTGCGTGCGGGGCCCGCCCTGGAGTCCGCTGTGGAAGCGCCTCTTGCCCGGGCAAGCTCGCCTCCTGGAGACTCAGGGTAGATAACGAAACCGATGCCCGGATTTGGCGTCGTTCTGATTTGAGGCTGGACGGCAGCCAGTAGCTTACCTCGCTGATGCACAGCGCCTGACCCATTGGGTCCTGTGAGGTTTAGCTTTTAACCCCTAACACTGGGGATGTAGGATCAGCAAGGTCTGCGGACTTAGACCGACCCAGTTTCAGTCCGCTACTGCGCCCTGACAGACACCCCCTGGAGCAAGCTTTAGTCAGGCTCTTTTGAGCCCCCTTCTAGACTAGGCCTCATGCTCGCCGAGCCCGGTGTTGCCAAAGAATCCTGCTAAGCCAGTTTCCCGGAATACCCTCGCCCTTCTATCTAATCAAGTTCCTCTTCCTCCACTCTTGATTTCTGATCAAGTTTCTCTTCCCCCTCACCCTTGATACCTAAGTTCCTCTTAGTAATTTTCCATTGTCTCCCTCACCCTGGCCCCTGGCTATAAATCTCCACCGGTCCCTGTCGTATTCCGAGTTGAATTCAATCTCCCCCATTGCAATATTGATCCCTATTGCAACGGTCTTGAGTAAAGCTCCGCCCTGACGTCCCCTGTTTTTTTAAAGAGCGTCTGATGAATAATTTCTCTTTAACACCCTTCAGGGCCTTGAGAACTGAGTTAACCTCTCTAGCGCTCAAACTGCATAATATGTGAAATGGGATGGCACTACCGAGCCATGACACAGGTAAAGCTCATGTTACCTTTACATTAGTAAAGCTTGATAATGTTACCTTTACAATGTCTTCTATGCATTTTTACCCAAATTCTCATATTTGATAATGCATTTTTTCCCTTGAATCCCCAGTTATATACGAGAAGATGTGTTCAGAGAACTTAAGTGATGCATGGGACACTTAGATCTATAGCCACACTTTCAATACAGTGTCACATGTACAGTCCCATTTGGCCCCCAGAACAACTCTGGGGTAGAGAGGGTAGGCTGTATTATCGTCACTCAAGAGATGAGAAATCTGGCCTAGAGAGAAAGTAAGTAATTTTTCTAGGCTTACAGCTTGTCAGTGGTTACACAGGACTAGTTCAGAGATTCTCCAACCTGCCTGCGTGTTGGAATCATCTAGGACCTTTTGAATGCCAGGCTGCACCCCAGAAAAATAAAATCTGAACTTTTATTCTGAAAAATAAATTCTGAACCCAGGCATCAGTAATTTTTAAAATCCCCAGCTGTTTCCAATGTGCAGCCAGTTTTGAGAGCTCGAAGTTTAAAGCAGTGCTTCTCAAACTTCAGCTTGCACACACATCACCTGGAGATCCTGTTAAAATGCTGGTTCTGATTTAGTAGGTCTGGAGGAGGGGTCAAATTCAGCATCTCTAAAAACTCCCAGGGAAACAGCAGGCATTTTCAGGATGAGATTTTTCAGGAGGGGTCATTCAGAGTCCGCTAACAGGTGGGCCCAGATTACCATGGGGGTACACTGCCTGTACATAGTAGATACTCTCTCTAAATGCTTTGAATGCCTGAATAAATACATCAGTCCAACAGATTCTCCCGGAAATTTGAACTAGAAAAATGAAATTAATTAGGTAGTTATTTGTAAGGGCTAAAGCAGAAAGAAAACAGAGAGATACCGTGAGATAGAGGTAGAGCTATGAGGGAGCATGTAGACCGAAGCTCTGAAGAAACAACCACAAATAATACAAGCTTGAGAACAGATTCACAGAGTAGAGGACAAGAACAAGCAAAGGTAGTGGAAGACCCAAGGACACAGAGAGAAGCCGACACAGGCGAGTGATGCAGAGACTGCCTGGTCCCTAGTCCCTCAAGCTACTATAATACTAAGTACCTTATAGGTTCTAGTTTCTACAATAAAACCTCTTTCTCTTTAAGGTGGTCTGAGTGCATTTCTAAAGCCTAACTAAAAACAGCCTTCCACTTTGTCTCATTTAATATTCACAATAACTCTTCAAGGAATGAGTTATTATTTCCAACTTACAGCTGAAGAAACTAAGGCACATATTGATTAACCAATTTCCCATCTCTCAAGATCTCAGAGCTGAGTTTGACCTCAGGAAGGTATGCTCCAGGTGGTATCAGAATAATAACTATGGGAGTGAGAATTGGCTCTGTTCCATTATCTCCCTGGCTCCTATCACAATGTTTGGAACACGGTAGGGACTCAATGAAAATGTGTTAAATGAATGCATGAGGAATATCTGTTATGATCAATTTGTCAAATGAATCAGACATCTAAAAAGTTAGCTGACATAATGGGAGAGAATTGTTTTAGGAGAAATTTAGAAAATTAAAAAGCAATATTAATTTTTAAATTTATCTAAGAAATATGTATAAAAACAATGTTTCATAAACTTTAAGAATCAGGAAAAAAAACAGTTTGAGAAATGAGGATCTTTGAAAGAATAGACATTATCCTGCTTTATTCATTCAATGGTTCAAGGATTACCCTTCAGCTTATAAAATGAACAGGGAGTTCATTTAAATTTTGTTTAGATAGATGCTAGAAATAACCATTGATATAGTTTTGTTGCCAAGTTATCAAATCACATATACCTTTTTTTTTTAATGAAAAAGGGTGCTTTGTTGTGTGGCTCATCACATGATAGAATTCTGAATTAATGAGGATAGGCCAAGTTATGCTGAGGTAACAAATTAACCATGAAATTTCCATGGCTTATCACATAAAAGTTTATTTCTCTCTCATGCTGCATGTCTAACATGGATCAGAAAGGGGATTTGCTCCACATTGTCACTCAGGTACTAGGGCTGACAGACACGTTGACTTCAACAAGTGGATTCATGATTACTGGGGCAGGAGATGAGAACGATTGAGGGTCTTAAACCAATTCTTAGGTGCTTCCTCCATTTATCGTCCAGAACTACTCACACAGCCCTACCCAACTGCAAAGGTGATGGGAAATGTGGGGGACACATGAATACTTAATAAGTAGACAATGCCATGAATACTGTGCATGTTGGGGTATCCTAGGATCTGCCCTTGGCCGCCTTCTCTCCTTGCTCTTGCGGTCTCCCAGGCAATCCTCTTGATATCTTCAGCCTGCAACTTTCCCCTGATCTCCTCATTCATTTATCCAGTTACCTACTCAGCATCTTCACTTCGATCTCTAGTACAGGCATCTCAAGCTGACTTTGTCCACTCGGAACCTTTGATTTTTTTCCTCCAAAGACTGCTCACTCCTCTCATCTCAGTAAACGGCAATACCATCTACTCAGTTGCTCATGTAATCCTTGATTCTTCACCTTAACCTAACACTCGCCATCAATTTCATCACAAATTTCTGTAGGCTCAATAATGCAGTGAGTGCTGGACTTGTACTCTTGTTTTCAAATAAAGATTTAATTAGTCTTCACTGAAGATAAGCCAAGTGTGAAAATGCCTGATCTACTTGGAATGTGGGATTGAGAAGGAGAGTGTAGGTTGGAGTCAGTTCCCCGGGCATTTAAATACTTTCAACAATAGCATTAAGGGTGAAATTAATTATATTGTGACCAAATGCTGGCCTGTTGGTTAACCCGAGTCAGTGAAATTTCTCTTCTTCTTGTTTATAATTTTTTTAAACTAAAGGTTTTTTTATTATTCTGATAGTAAGACTAAAATAGTTATAGACTTAAATCTCCAGGACTTCCAAGATCTTTAAAGATGCACATCTTTGAGATTTGTGGAGACTTGTTTTGTGAACTAGCCCACAGTCATTTTGTGTAAATGTTTCATGTGTGCTTGTGAAGAATGTGGATTCACTCATTATTTGGTGCAGAGTTCTATATATGTCTGAATCAAACTTGTTTATAGTGTTGTTCAAATCTTCCATAAGAAAGGAAGAAAGGAAGGAAGGAAGGGAGGAAGAAATCTGAAACCTTAAAAAAAAAAAGTTTGTTGGCTCTCACCAAATTATGTCTTGAGTCCACCACTTCTCCTTGTGGCCCTACTACATCCTACGCTAAGCCTCCCTCACCTCTTGTCTGGATGAATGTGAGGGCCTTTTAACATAGCTCTGCCGCCTATACTCTTGTACCCTATAAACCATCCCCTACTCAGCCACCAAAGTGATGTATTTATAGACATATCATGTCACTCCCTTGCTGGAAAATTCTCTAATGGATTCTCACTGCAACTAGAATAAAGTCCCAACTCCTACAAGGCCTCTGTGACTTGGCCCCTCTCTAGGTCTCCAGTCCCATTCCCCTCTTCACTCTCCCTCTTCACCAAGCTCCAGCAGTAATGGCTTCTCTCTGTTCCTAGACCACGTCGTGCTCATTCCTGTCTCAGGGACTTGGTGTTTCCATTCCTTCTGCTTACAAAACTCTTTCCCAGGATATTTGGATAGCTACCTCCTTCTCAGCCTTCAGATCTTAACTCAAAAGTCACCTCCTCAAAAGGCCTTCCCTCAAGCAAAGTAGCCTTTCCAGTCATTATGTAACATCCTATTTTAGAGCACTTAGATCTGAAATTATATCATTTATTTACTGTTTTTACAGGTTCATTGCTTGTCTCTCTCTGCTAGAATGTAGGTTCCTTGAGGTTGGGGACTGTCTTCTTCTCTTCTGTGCCTTCAGTGCCTAGAATTGTGCCAGGCACATTATAGGAGCTCAATCAATATTTGTCATCATTAGAAATGATGTTCCTAAAGAATATTTAATAATATGATAACATTCCCCTGATATGTGATTCAATGGAAAAAAAAAAAGATAGAAAACTATTCACTATGAGCCTGATTTTA